AGTGTGGTCATCCAGCCACACCCACCTTTTGCTTGTTATTCTGTTTACCTTGTTTGTTGTCAAACCCCAGGGCTTTTTTGTAGCAGGAAATCCTTTGCATGTTAGGCCACACACCCCTAATGTAGCCAATCCGAATGAGTTTCTGCTGTTGGGTGTGGCCTGTTATGCTAATGAGTTCCTGCTGGGCGTGGCCAACTCGGGAGCCAGCCGGAACTCCGTTCCTGTGCGTTCCGAACCCAAAAATAGCCCTGACTACACCAAACTGGCTCAAGAAGAAATTGGATTTATACCCTGCCCTTCACTTGGGAGTCTCAGAGCAGCTTACAATCTCCTTTCCCCTCCCCTCCCCACAACAGACATCCTGTGAGGCAGGTGGGTCTGAGAGAGCTCTGACAGAAACGACTCTTTTTCAAGAACAGCTCTGACAGAACTATGGCTTGCCCAAGGTCATCCAGCAGGTGCAAGTGGAGGAGTGGGGAATCAAGCCCGGTGCTCCCAGATTAGAGTCCGTGCACTTAACCACCACACCAAACTGCAGTCACACACACTAAATCGTTCACTTCCAAGCCACTTTCAGTGCCCGTTTCACACAGTAAAAATCCAGTTTAAAATTGGATTGGAAGTGGGTTATTTACTGTGTGCGACCGCAGCCAAAGGCGATTTTTCACACCACGCCAGGCCGAACTGGGGGATGGCAAATGCAATCATCACATGGGGCGGCGCCGATTTCCTGCCTCCCTCTGGCCATGGGGACAGGGAAGGGTTCGACAAAGGCCCTGAGCCCCCCCCCCCGCCTGGCAGGATTAGATCCCCTTCCTGCCCCCCACTCAGGCTTCCGAGGGGCTGCACACTGTGACCAGCAGCCAGCCAGGACCCAAATCTGCGACCGAGTCACAAGAAATGCAGAGGAAGGAACAATCCCCCGCCTCCCTGGCACGTTCCTGGGGGGAGGGGTTAGAGAAACGTGGCAGAGATGCAGCCCTCCTCCCCGCGGCACACCCAGTCGATGGGAAAGGGCATTTTGCCCCGGCAAGGCAGCCTGACCTCCTGGGGGGAGGGGGGGAGGGGGGAGGGTCAGTCAGGGAAGATGAAATGCAGTTGTGCCAAAATGGATGGAGAATGTTCAGGGGAATGACCAGGACATGCCCGCCTGTCTGTGCCCATCCCACCCTATGCCCCTCCCCTCTCTTCCCAGCAAAAACTCCCCGTACCCCCACCCGGGGGCGGGCAGGTTCTGCCTGTATTTCCAGCTCCACCTTGGCTCTCTACCCTCCGGACACCTCGAGTTTTCTTGGTTCCCTTCTGGGCCGTTTTCCTCCAGGCCAGTTTGAAGAAGAAGAAGAGGAGGAGGAGATTGGATCTATACCCCATGGCCCTTCACTACCCGAAGGAGTCTCAGAGCAGCTTACGATCTCCTTTCCCTTCCCCCTCCCCACAACAGACATCCTGTGAGGTAGGCGGGGCTGAGGGAGCTCTATCGAGGACTGCCCTTGAGAGAACGGCTCTGAGAGAACTTGTGACTGACCCAAGGCCGCACCAGCAGCTGCATGTGGAGGAGTGGGGAATCAAACCTGGTTCTCCCAGATTAGAGTCCGCACACTTTAA